AGAAAGTTTGGCTCCACCCTGTCGAAAGCTTTCTCTGCATCGACTGAAAGTATGGCTGATTTTATGGAATTTTGTTGACAATAGTTGATAACGTTTAGAGTTTTTCTAATGTTATCAGTGATTGTGCGGCCCGGCATAAAGCCCGCCTGATCTTTGTGTATGTAGTTTAATATGATATTGTTGAGTCTAGCTGCCAATACAGAGGATAGTATTTTAAAATCAGAGTTTAAAAGAGAGATCGGCCTATAGGATGCCGGAAGAGTTCTATCCTTATCAGGTTTTGGGAGGACAATTACCTTTGCTTCCGTCCAAGTAGGAGGAAGTTGCCCAGATGTTAATACATGATCCTTAAATTGGGTTTGAAAAATTTTGTAATATTCAATGGGAAAGCCGTCCCTTCCTGGAGCTTTATTATTTTTCATCGCTTTTATGGCTTTTAACATCTCTTTTTCTGTTATAGGCTGCTCTAGAAATTCCCTATGTTCCCGTGTCAGTTTATTATTATATTTTATAGAGTTTAAATAGTCTTGAATGTCTGATAACTTTGGATTAGTAGAAGTATATAGTTTTGCATAGAAATCAGCAAAAACAGATGTAATTTCTTTGGGAAGATTATGTAATTGGTGGTGTTCATCTTTTATATTATATATTGTGGAGGAAGCAATTTGTTGTGAAACTCTATGTTTTAAGATTTTTATTGATTTGGGTGTTCTTGTGATGTATTTTTGTTTCAAAAATAAAAATTGTTTTTGTATATGTGTTGTTTCTAAAAGATCTAGTTTTTTCCTTTCCTTTTGCAGCTTACGATACGTCTTTTCCCCCCCATGCTTTTTATGCTTTTTTTCTAGTCTTTGAATTTCTTCCATAATCTCATCTACCACTTTCTGTTTGTTTTTTTTATAGGAGGAAGCTAGAGAAATGATATGTCCCCGCATGGTTGCTTTAAATGCTTCCCAAATGGAGATTGGTGATGCTGAACAAGCTGCATTAAAGTCAAAATATTCTGTGATCTTATTTTTGATAGTTTCCTTTATACCCTCATTGTGTAATAAAAAAGTATTTAATTTCCAATGAAAATTGCTCTCTGTTGTTTGTTGTGCATCTAAAATACACGAGACCCAAGAGTGATCAGAGAGAACCGTGGGGCCTACATTCGATTCAATCATGTTAGGAAGTAGTGCTGTAGAGGCTAAAAGGAAATCTATACGAGTATATATTTGATGTGGTGCCGAGTAAAAAGTATATTGCCTGTCCTCAGGATTCAATTCCCTCCAAATATCAATTAATCCAAAAGAATCAAAGATTCCCTGAAGTTTGGTTTTTTTATTTGGATGCTTTTGCTTTGCCAATGTATTATAAGTTCTGTCAATCCTAGGGTCCACAATATAATTTAAGTCAGCACCAATAATTATTTCCCCTGCTTTAAAATCCATCAATTTCTTTAATGTATCTACTATGAAATCAATTTGATCAGAGTTCGGGGTGTAAATAGAAGCAATAGTTAGTGGTTTCCCATACAATTCACCTTGTACAAAAACATATCTTCCCCTAGGGTCAATTTCAGTTTTTTTACATTGAAAAGGTAGATTGCTAGAAATCAAAATGGCTGTTCCCCTTGCTTTGGAGCTTCCTGGAGCCTGAAAATGCTGAGAAAACCATTTTGTTTTTAAAACTTGATTGATAGATGTTTTTAGATGTGTTTCTTGAAGACACAAAATATTAACTTTTTGCTTTGACCATAGATTTGACGCCCTTTTTATTTTAATTTTGTCATTGAGGCCCCTGGCATTCCAAGTGGAAATATGGATTTGTTGCATAAAACCAATACTAACCTTTAACAACTAAACTACAACTCACAAAATCGACCCCTCTATAAGAAGGGTAGTGTTCAATCTATCTGGCCTACAAATGAGCCAGAAAGTAGGAGCAAGGCTCCCTGCCACTCCTAATTGAATCACTTTAAATATGTAAGAGAAATAAAAACGTAAAATTAAAGCTTTGTTGGGGGAGAAACATTAAAAAACGCTTCCGTCTCCCTCCCACCTCAGGCGTTATAAAGTTGGGTTTTCTCCTTCTACAGAAAATATATTGAAGAGCTTATAACAAACAGCTGTCTTCCTTTAATTGTGAGCCAAACAGGCTATACAAACCTTAAAGTTATATAACATAAAAGACTGCTTAAAATATTAATTCAATAGTGTTATATGTTTTTTCAAAAATAAATTGATGTCTCTTTTTCTATAAAACCATAAATTGGGGTATTTATAGCTTAGTTCCAATATAGTTTATAAGGCAAATAATATAGGTAAGCCTTTACAAAATAACATTGGTTGAGCTTGTCTCATATCTTAATTAAAAATTGTCATTACCTTAAAATTTTTGAACCACTCAGCATGCATTTGATTAGGCTTACTTAATAATTGCAAAAGCGGTACTCATCCCTTTGATTCCATTAAAGCTTTTTTTTAAAAAAAAATAAGTTGGTTAAGTTCACCTTATAAGTTAACAAAGGGTTGGTTATGACTTATAAATGAGAAAAACTTTAAAGAATAATTATCTATAATGTAAAAAGAGGTTGTCTTCACCTTTAAAGAGCAATTCAACCATTACAATACATTTCCATTTAGACTTACCTTAATGCAAAACATTGTTTAAATAATATATACTAACCAAAGAAAAAATGGGTTAACTGTACCCTTGAACATCTTGTGCTATACCACTCGTTTACTTATATACAAAAATAAATTGGTTGAGTTCACCTTATAAATTAACAAAGGGTTGGTTATGATTTATAAATGAGAAAACTTTAAATTAAAGAATAATCATCTAAAACGTAAAAAGAGGTTGTCTTCACCTTTAAAAAAATTCAACCATTACAATACATTTTCATTTAGATTTACCTTGATGCAAAACATTGTTTAAATAATATATATTAACCAAGGAAAGAATGGGTTAACTGCACCCTTGAACATCTTGTGCTGTACCACTCGTTTACCTATATATACCAAAGAAAAGTGGGTTAACAGCCCCCTTAAACATAGTTTGCTTCATCATATATTAGACATTAAAAAGTATTAATAAATGGCTTGTACAGATGAACCAAAGAAGGAATGGGTTAACCACACCCTTGAACACCTTGTACTATAGCATACGGTTATCTGTATATTAAGAGAAAAAATGGGTTAAC